TCATAATTATATTTGTTGGATCTTTCTGTTTCATCGTTATGTGAGGAAAATTACTGTTACCTACTGACTGAATCGTGGACCAAATTTCTTCAAACCAGTGCATTTCTGTGGGACAGCTTTATGGGATATCAAAAATTACAAGCATATCCACTATCATCAGAAGCTGATATATTCACCATCATACTTCTATAACTCCACTCTTCAAGCAAAAGGATCCTACAGACCACAAATGGTGATATACCAGGAGTGAAGTTTTTCAACAGTGAACAGCCTTCTGTGAACATATTGAAAACCATTTCTGAACAATGTGTTAACCTATTTGACTATTTTGTGTTAAATATTAAAACCATCAGAATCATGTGCAATTGATCCATACAATAGAAATCAGCAGCAACCAGCTCTAATGAGTCTAGACCAAGAAATAATTCAACACCAAAGGCATCCTGACAATTCTGTGGATTTAATAGTAGATACAACATTACAACAATATTACTTCCGGGCTTTGAGGAAAACATTGATCAAATGACCTAGGATTTCAGTTAATGTATTTACACAGTATATTATCATAAATTTTGTGATTTGATATCATTTTGTAATCCTAAATTCATCTAATTGAAAATATCTATCTCATCAATCTGTATAGTTCATTATGTTTTGTATATTTTGGAACTGAATTAATAATAATGTTCGAAAATGAAAGTACATTGACATAACATGTGTTTTACTATGTACTTATGCCACTCCAAAGAAGTCCAGAAAGAAGTACCTACAAATGGAAGGATAGTCCAGTATAGGTACTCCTTCCCTCAGTGCTCATGTATACTGTTTTCCCCTGAATTATTTTACAAGATACCTTCATAAATTTACAATTATGAATGAATTTGATATCCAGGACTTTTATGTATGTAGAAACAAATTAACAATGAGCAAAAGTAAGTATCTTTCTGGTAGGTACCTATTTTAAAAGGAATCAGTAAAGATTATAAAGTGAAACTTTGAAATTGCATAAAAAAAGATTGAGTTGTTGATTGAGGTAGTTGGGAATTGAAACATGAATTTTGAAAACCTACAATAAAACATTACAAAACAGAAAAAAAGTAGAATGTTTACTTATGAATAAATACAGTTTAATAATAACATACAAGCAGTAAAATTATGAATACATTTTTCCAAGATACAATTTGAAATGTCATGGATATGTTCAAGTACCCAAATAATCAGTGATATATCCTTGAAAACTTGAATTCAACTTCAAGGAATCTGGGTTTTGGTTTCGATTTGTGTAACTAATTGCACTCAATTGCAAGATACCCTGGATGGCAACTCCTCCCCTGCTGAAAAATTGAAGAAATATTAGTACCTACTATAAACAAACCATATCTATTAGCTATTACACAATCTAAATATTCAAATAGAAATAGATTGTGTCACTTCAATGTATGTTCAAAGATTCAATTCAAGCTATGAAGTAAGCTAACTACAATGACCTGCTTGTACCAGGGTTATTATATATCTATAAAATATGCTACTGTTTTTGCTGATATGAATGTAATTGGAGCTGTATTTTAACTTAATGATTTTGGAAGTACATGCAATCTGCATTGGCGATTTTACTACAAAGATGATACTACAAAATAGGAATCTATGGAGGCCTAGGCAGGATGTCATGAACAAGATTTTTATAGGAGTCAAGCATTACAAATAAAACTATAAATTACCCACCTGCACATGTTCATAATGTCTCTTTTCTTGGCCAGCTTTGTTTATTGCAGTTTGAAAGTCAAAGGCATTAAATTGCTTCATTTTTTCAATAAAAATATTTGAAATAAAAACAACCATACTTATTTCTCCCAAGTCCTAGTTTCTGGAGACATTTCCCCATAAACAAAATAGGTATGAACTGTTGATTATTTCAATCATGTTCTCTCTCAGATAGGCACTGCAAATGAGAGTTATTCAACAGTGATAAATATATCAATGAATCACAAATTTACCTTATTGTTATCATTATTGGACCAATGAAGTGAAGGAAGGTAGGAAGTTTCTGTTGGAGCTGTATACATCCAGTTTTCAAACTCATATTGGATTCTCAACGTTTATCCATTTTTTCCATTCAACTGAACTGATTTTTCATCATCAGAAGAGACTTCTTGAGTGCAGGAAATTCATATTAGAAGACATTATAGGTCCCACATTTTTCCATTGGAAGCTTCTACTAGTTCAAACAGCAACCAAACACAGTAGATTTCGCGTATTATCAGAGATTTGTTGATACTCATTTATAAAATGATATAGAATTGATTTGGCAATTGATATAAAGTTCATGTCTTGTACTCATTGGAAGGAAGAAGAGAAAATTAACGTAATTTGTTATCATAAAATAATATGAAACCTACTGAACACAATAACAAACATGACCTTGAATTACGTCCTAAACATGGTTCAAATTTGCCCACCAGGTGCCGTATCGGAATCGTCACCTTGCCAATAGCTAGAAGGTTTTGATCACATTGTGGCATTTCCACTGAATCGAAAATGACAGTAACGCTGTGTCTGTCACTTCGACAATTTCAAACTTATTTGAGGTTTGATTGGCAAGACAAATTGACGTTTCCCGTCAGATCAATCCAAATCTATAGGGGGATTTTTATAATAATCAATTTTTATTTCTCAATATTTCCTAATTTTTACAATAAATTGTGCAATTTGATGGATGATTCTGAACATACATACTTAATACTGCAACAAACAAACTTAAACTTTTATATTCCATCACCAACCACTTATATTACTAGCGATTTTATCATATCTTTGTTTTCCCGCACTAGTGCGGGAAAAAATTTCCCGCACTAGTGTGGGAAAATCTTCCCGCAGTGTTGCGGGAAAATGACACTTTCCAAACTAAATTGCGTGCGGGTATAGGGTGAATCACGCACGCTTGTAGAAAAAGATTTTTTTCTGTACACCGAAAGAAAAATCTCAGTATTATCAAATATTTGATAACGTCAAATTTGTTCATAATTAATTAGCCATATTCATAATCAAAAAGGCTTATTTATCAACAATAAATGATTTATTACTGTCATATTTCTTCATTTATTACGTCGATTCACGAAGTGATAATCAATGAGATGAATTCATAATAATTATAATGAGATTTGGTGATAATTAACAATGATACAGTGTCTGTAAATGAATCCTATGTGTTTATTTATTATGATACATTTGTTTATTATGAATATACGAAATATAAAGGATAAAAATGGATATTTCATTTTATTCTTCGTTTGGTTATATTATGATAATTCATTCGGTAATAATTAAAAACTGTCATGCGCATGGGCCATCATTTTAGTTTAGCTTCCATCTTATATTGCGTGAGCATCTTTATGAAATTGTTGGTAATTTCCTTGTGATTTCGACCAATATGCGAAAGTAATGAAGTGTGATGGTTATATTAGTTCAATCCCTTATCTGACAGTGCGGGTTTATTTACATCTGGATAATTTCATATAGGTACGACATCTCATATGAAAAAAATGGCAGACGACTATCAGTGCATCTCGAGGTGCATCTATTTTACAACATTCAGTAAGTATTAAAAAAACAGTGGTAAGTAGGTGCGAATACCCATGTAATATATGCATGAGTATTTTCTAATATTATTTGCTTTGCATGAATTTGAAAGGAAGTAATATATATTATGTAGGTATGTACATGGAAACGTGGGTATGCCATCATCATAGCTGAGAGCTGATGAATTTGATTATATACTTATATGAATAATATTCGTCAACTGTTACTGAATTTATTATTGATATAAGGCTTAGAAACACCCCCTCGGGGTGATCCACGAGTGGTGGTAATACATCATGAAATTTAATGAATCAATAAGCGCTTTTTCTGAAATGAAGACATTGAATTATAACAGCGAACAAAATATTTATTCATCATAAAAGGTTCCTTTTCATGCTGTAATTATGATTGAATATTTGGTTACCGAAAACAAAGACTTTGAAATAATACATATCGTTTGGTGTGGGTGAAGAAATTTAAATAATCTTAATTTAACCATGCACGAGGCTTATTCATGGGGGTGCTACCAAATAATTTGTTTTTTTCAAACAAACGTTTGATAATCCATATTTCAATAACGCATTTGGTAACAGGTAATTATATTTATTTATTATAATCAAACTGTTCTTTCAGTGTGAGCAAGAAATAGATCATCATATTCTTGTGGAATAAATATTTATAACTGTCCACACATCAGAATAAAAGTTATCAATCTCGTCACAAAATTGCAAAGAGAACCTGATTTTGACAATGCTGACAGGCTTTATGAATTTCCTATCACTGTTTTTGTTTTCTCCCTTCTTGTTCACTATATGTGTAGTGTTATTTTTGACATATCTCAATGATATATAAGTTTTGTTCATATTTGTTATTTCAATTACATCAACAGCCGATAATACGTCATGAATGATCTTATACCAGGAATTACTGTCTGATTAGTCATGTCATTCCTACTGGAAAATCAATTATACTTTATATTTTTTCCCGTGTGAAAAAAGTGAGTACTTTTTGCCCGGATATATATCACATATATTATATACACTGTTGATGGATTTTGTTGTGCTATAGTTCCGAAAAATGAGTCAATAATACCGTCTCCGAGAAAGAACTGCAAGTCCTTTTATCTTCCATTCGACTTTGCGGTTACGTATATTACTGAACAACCACTGAATTCGCAATTTTTTGGAATCAAATCACAGAATTAGTCTGAAAGAAGTGACATCAGATATTTGATTACTTCAAAAGAATGATAAAGATGCCGCTACGCGTTGGGAGACAACACAACCTGGAGCTGAAATATATTACTTTCTTCCTTTGTATAATAAATAGCTATTATAGAATTTATCAATTAGCAAAAAATGTGAAGCAATAAGTGAAAATGAAAATAAAATGAATAAAACTAGCTACTAGACCAGATGGGATACCTTGAAATCCATTAGGTTGGTCATCAGCTCCTTGTACTCAGTCATGGTTATCTGATCTGGGACGGATGGTTGATACATGGTGGCACTAGAAGGGTCTCTGAGTCCGCAATCATAGCTCTGCATTTTCCTCAGCGACAAGTTCCTTGACTGCGGCAGTTCCACCTCGATCAATTTGAAACAATGAAAATAGTTAAACAAAGGGTAAGGTTGTGTGTATACTTTGTGATATTCAGAGTTTTTTTAATGCTTTAAATATTGGGTGGAATTTTGTTTGATTTAAATGAATTTGTGTGTTTAGACAAGATGGATTGGAAGTTCTTTCTCTCGTTATTTGTAAGTCTTCTAATAAATCTAATTGTAAGTTTTTTCCTTTAACGTTATGTAAAATTTTGACACCTGTATCCATGTTGAAATTGTGATTACTGGTTCTTAAATGTTCACCAAAACTAGAAGCTTTGAAAAAACCGATCCAAACAGACAATAACTTCAATCCCCACTCCTTGAATTCACTATTGCTACATCCATCCATAACATTTTATTGCCTCAACCAAACCGCTCCTCTTTGTTGATAGCTTATTGGTTTTATGTCAACTGTATGTCAGCATTGTAAATGTCAGTAGTCTATGTCATTAATTGTCTTTCATTAATTTGTAGGTTCTTGTCACTGTCACTGCCTTGATGGTCTGACAATTTAGATCATTTTTCAAGATGTCATATGCATTTTCTAACTTTATTCTCATCACTCAGTCGTCTTGCCGAAAATGTAAGAGCACATGTACAATTGCTTTTCTTCATTTAATTTTTTTAATTTTGAGCAATGCAATTAGTTTTCTCGGAAAACTTAAATTTTCCAGTGTTGAGCGCATAATGATGTTCTTCTCGTGTTTTGATCTTTTGTAAAAACTCTGACAAGTGAGTAGAACTCTATTATAATTTATCAAATTTATCAACCTATAACATAACTTCAATTCAGATTTCCTAATCTTCACTCACTTTCAGAAATTACTCCTGATGATGGCTTGTAGCCGAAAACGTTTGAATTAGCTTGTAATAAAGACTGTGTACTAAAAGCCTTTTGTAAATATTTTGAATAATACGAATAGTGTTACAATTATTCATAGGCGCAGGTAATGATTATATTTTTGTACAAATAAGCTGTTGCCATCATCAAAAGTCAAGACAGAACTACACATCATCTGAGTAGAAATTTCTAAAGGAGGTTCTTTTGGCATTCCTAATTTCACTCTCTGGCTACCGTTCGTTGGTCATCGTACACTCAAAACACAGAAGAAATAACTGCGGGACTATGAAGCACTGAACACATTTGAAGACCATAGGGGATGAAGGGGAAATGTCACAATATAGTGAAAATTTAATTGACAGCGCCATCTGATAGCCAAACCACTATATTTTAGAATAAACAGAAGTCTATAGCAACACCGCAGCATAGCCAGAAAACGCGGAATGTCCACTTCAAAAATGTGAAGAAAGGGGAACGTCCAAGCTTAGTGCCTGATACTTGAATACAGATTCCATTGTGATTTTAATAGGTTGCTTTCACACTGTCAAAAAGTCAAAGTGAACTCTCACGAAATATGAGAAAAAAAAACGGCCACCTTTTTTTCATGTCTTGGAGCGTGCCAAAGGGAATTCCTATAATGTTTGGGAAACATTGTGGGTATCTACGGAGGATAGGCAGAGGGAGTAGAGGTAGGTATTGGGATTAATTTCAACTTTTGGAGAATATGAGTTCTTGGGAATACTCTGCTAGGCAGAATCTTCTGAAGCTTCGCCGTTCATCTATGTATAAACGAGTTTTGGTAAAAAGTTATTCGACATATTTCGAGTTTGATGACAAAAAAGATGTGTTGACTGGGCTTGTCGAGTATGTCTGAGTGATGGGAATGACTTAATGAGATTGCTACATGATGAATCCCACTCATATCGCGTAGTATTCATAGAACATGATCAAATTATAGAGATCTAGCTGTACTATATGACAGCTTACCGCTCATCAGGTAGTCAGGCAAGAATGGAGAAATGTACCAGAGCAAACAATCCAGTTTTTTGACAATTCATTTGGAAATTTCACATTTTTCCCTTGAATCTTCGCACTTATTTTTTGTTTTAGATGATTTTTCCATTCAAATACGATTTTTATTTTCAGTTGGTCAACTTTATTGCTCATTATACCCCATCAAATGAGTCCAGGTGGTTTGATATCAGTTTTCTTCAACTTCCAAAAAATAAGGAAGTTTTAAACTTCGAAATGCGTTTTTATCGGAACCTACTTTTTGTGACATTCATCCTTTTTCTCTTGTGGTCTTCATTTGATTATTCTCTATTTTCCTTGAGGATGACTAGAGGGGATAACTGGGTGCAGTGTACCCGTTGCAAGAAATGGGCCCATGAAAAATGCATATAAGATCTATACAGCGTTATATGTTTGCATTAACTGTGACTTGCTCAGAACAACTGACATGCATTTGGAAGAAAATAGATGTTTGATTTTTCTTATAAGCCTTTATTACCTTATAAACACCCATAGGTATATGTCAAGTCAATTGACCCCATCATACAAGTCAAAAAACCCCATATTCGGGGATTGTTGACTCACTGCACTCACTAACCTTATTCTGATGAATACTTTGAGCAGATATATCTCTTGGTGAATTTCAAAATTTTTCTGTATACCTGAGTGTATATGTGAAATATTGTCATGCAACCAATCGAAAAACCACCAATCGTTTATTCACAATAATTAAATATCTCAAAATTCAGTCAACTAGCCCGTTACCACCGATAAAACAAGGCCAGCAGACTCTGACGTAAACAGCTGGTGACGTCGCATACTCAGGCCATCTTCCAAAGCATTCGCATCGATCGATCGTCAGTTTGTTTTTGTTTATGAACGGTGGCGTAGGTAAATCGCGTGTGCTCGAATTCTCTTATTCATCAAAATAATTGGCGGAGAAATTACTGTTTTGTGAAATATTTCGTGTTGTGATAGGCGAAATAACAATGCCTTACAAGTGTTGTGTTCCCTTTTGTCGGGGGAATTATGTGGGTGGTCCAAAAGTTCATGCTTTTAGTTCCCCGTTGGACAAGGAACTATCGAAAAAGTGGGTACATGCAATTCACCGCAAGGATTTTACGGCTCCATCTAAGTACAGTAAAGTATGTGAATTACATTTACTAAAGATGATATTATTACTTCATCTACTGCAACCGATTCAAAAACTGGCAAAACTGTAACAATAGATTTGAAAATTCCTAGGCTCAAACGAGATGTTATTCCCACTCCATTTTCCAACTGTCCATCTTATTTATCGAAAGATGTAAAATTACGCACAAGTCGTGATGAAAAACTTGAGATACTAGAGACTAAAAATTTGGCACAAGCATTTACCAAAAGTAAAACTGAATTCGAAAATTACCAAAAATCATTTTGCTACACAGAATTTCAAGAATTTCTAGTTGTATTAGAGTCTTTTCAGTTGCCCGAAAAGTGGTTCAAAATTATCGATTTGCAAAAAGTCACATTATTCAAATTGTCTTATTCTCCAGGGCCCGTAATTACATATTCGGTTGTGATTGATTTTGTTTTGAATGTGGAATCATTTTTGTATGACCTAGCGATACAAACATCTCTAAAAGCCAATCTGAAAACAACTTTTATCTCTAATAATATCAATCAAATCAAGGAATTACTAATTGAAATAGATAAAAACGAGATACATAATTCGGGAAAATGTCTTGATAATCAGAAAAAGAGGGTTTTGAAACATATTTCGAATGCATTGGACTCTTTGGTTTCTGACTCGGTTTCAGATCTTGATGAAGATTCCGAAAACACTTCAGCTTTATTGTTCCTCTCTGAGCAAATTAAATTACATACAACCTGCAAAGAACGATATCGTTATTCGAATAATACTATAATTTTAGCCTCTATAATTCATCCAACAAGTCCACATGCTTATAAATTTTTAAGACATTTTGGAGTACTCATATTACCTCATTCAGGTACAGTCAAATCGATATGTAGTTCGTTGTTAACAGATTCTACCTTCGAAGAAAGACAAATGTCGTTATCTCATGCAGAAAATGTATTTAAGTTATTAGGTGAGCGTGAAAAATAAGTCATTTTAATGATGGATGAAGTTCATATAAAGCCATATTTAGATTACAAGGCAGGCAATATTGTAGGAACGGCATTTAATAATTCATGTTTAGCAAATTCCGCATTTGTCTTCATGATAGCAAGCGTTATGTCAAATGTGAAAGAAGTTGTTCATATAAGTCCAACATCAAACATAGATCACCTCATGATTTTTTCTTTAATAAAGAGAGTCATAAATAGATCAATCTCACGATAAGTTCATGTTCTGCGGGCCCTGTATAAGTAGGTGTGAAGTTTACCTTCACCACAATTTTTGCCAATATATTTAATTCGAATAGGTTGCTGTAGGTGGATATTTGTGTTTTATCCTGGTTTTTGCTGTGAAACTTCGTTTTTCCATAATAAAATCGAATGGGATGCGAAGAAGGGCTCAGTTGACGGCTGGCATCCTCTTTCAACCGGAAGCCCTTCAAAAAAAAGCAAAATCGGCTCAATAATGATCTAAAACTAAAATCTAAATACGCGGTCGCCTTATAGCGCTATAAGCGCTTGTCGTTTCGAGCCGCTGGTTAGGCCTGACTAAGTGACGTCACCCACGGAGCATGCAGGCCTTGTTTTATCGGTGGTAACGACTAGCCCCGGTCTCCCCTACGATAATGAAATCGACTACTGGATATTTTGCAAGGAAAAGAAGTATTTTGATACCATTTTCCTGTGTTACTGTCGCACACTCACCATCTCGTCGATGGTGTCCTGCCTGGAACCCGCCGGCGTCGAAGCTGCCGACACCTTCTGCAGCTTGGGGAAGACCTTGTTGCCCGATCCGGAACTGGGAGCCGCCCCCGCGCCCCCCGAGGATTGGGAGCCGGGTCGCTCCTTGGGGTCCTTGGCGCTCAGGCTCCTGGTGAAGCCTGGTGTGGCGGTGGACGTGTCCGAGCTGGAGTCCAGGCTGCCGGAGCCTAAAAGGCGGCCCCATTTGCCCGCTCTCACTGGAACTGAGAAAAATTGGAACTTCATTTCCTACGAGGACGTCCCTGGGATATCCTGCATCGGGGCATGGTACATACTAGTAGGGACGTCCCCGGGACATCCGATTTCCACAAAAAGAGGCATCCTAGGGATGACCTTCTGGTACGTCCCTGGGATGTACCAAGTACGAAGAAAGGATATCCCTAGGACGTCCCAAGGATATGTCAGGGATATCCCTTCGACAAAAAAATGTAGGTCGAGTACGGATTGAACCCGGGACCTTTGGCTTATCAGGCACGCATCTTACTCCATTGGCTATTGAGCCTCCTGAAGATTTATGTACTAAACAGATTTATAAACAGGACTTAACTACAGAAACCTGAATAAATACAACTTTGTTAGGATTTGGGTATAATTATTATATCATTCTTGGGTGTTTGAAAATGAGGGGCATTATATGCATGTACGATTTCTGTTTTCGAAAAATGGTAATTTCTCAAGAAGTTCTTCATTCTTTATTTTTTTACGATTATTTTCCGGAAGAAAAACAAACATTTTCAAAAAAATGCAACTTAATACTTTGATGAAATTCAATGACTCTGATGTGAATGGATATCAGACATTCCAGGGACACGAATAGGATAACCTAGGGATGTACCGGGCGGGATGTCCACTGGACAACCACTGCAGGATATCCCCTGGATGCCCCAATCATGTCCTTGTACCGCGGGACAAAAAAGGGACGTACCTAGGACATCCCTGTATTGTTAGGGTATAAAAAAGGAATTATAAAGACAAGTTGAGTAATGAATTCTACTCAGTTGCAAGAAATACTTATTTTTCTGTGACGGGAAGAAAGTTTGGCATTTCAACTCCGTTGGCAGGTTATGAAATGTCACTTTTCATGAATTAATTTTTTCCCGGATATATATCACATATACATACACTGTTGATGCCTTTTGTTGTGCTATAATTCCGAAATATGAGTCGATAATACCATCTCCGAGAAAGAACTGTTAGTCCTTTTATCTTCCATTCGACTTCGCGGTTACGAGTATTACTGAAGAACTACTAAATTCGCAATTTTTTGAAATCAAATCACAAAATACGACTGACAGAAGTGACATCAGATATTTGATTACTTCAAAAGAATGATAAAGATTCCTACAACGCAGGTGTCCCTACTGTTAAAAACTTAAAATTCCACGTCGATAATTTTCAGATTTCAAAATAATGTAATATCTTCTCAATATTGATTCGTCTTTTCTTTTGTCACGGAAAAAAACAGTTTATTATAAAAGGGAAAAATATCAGATTTTAGCTCCAGGTCGTGTTGTCTCCCGACGCATAGCGGAGTTTTGGAGTATTTCATTCCTTCTTTTCTACTCAAATGGCGTTACTTTCATATTGTATATGAAAGACGCCTCTGGGGGAATATCATGCCGACTTGATTTTTGTTTCGCTAGGCTACGCTTAGTCGGCGGTTGTAGGACTGTTGGCTGGAGACTGCCCTGCACTGATGATAGTCAAAGAGCTTGAAACCGGTCTGTTGGTGTCTAGCGTGGCCTGGCTAAATCGAAATCAATAAACATTCAGGAAAGTGTCACTTGTATCAGTATTCGTTTATACGAGTAGATTCATAGATTTAGGGAGGATGTAATTCAATGTTCTGCGTGACATCAGCCAGGAAAGTAATTGTTTTTCTCCTGAAATCCACCATTGTTTTTTATTTTATGAACATTGTGTGGAAATACTATTTCGTAGTTAACATTATATTTTCCTAAAGTGACTGCCTGATAGCAGCAGTACCTTCAGCTATCATAGGATTGCAATGTGCTGTAACAGTAATAGGGTCTCTTATAATAGAAGCTAGAAATATATCAGCAAAAACAATAATATCACAATTTTGCCTCCAACTTCAACGCAAAATAATGAATCAAATGAACTATCGACAATTTTCAGTGAGCTATCGCCATTGAAGGGTGAATAAATAAATAAATAAAAAATAAATAAAAATATAAATTATCAGATTATCATTTGGAATGATGAATGTGTGAACTATGAATGGTGAAGCCTTCTCCTTTCTAGTTTCAGATATTTCTGAGTAACTGTATAGGTATCCCCAAATAGTAGATTGTTTTATTAGGATCAAAAGTGACAAGCGAATTTTGCATTTGCGAGGCGGAGCGTTTAGCGAAACCGAGCGAAAGCAAAATTTGCGAGTCGAACAAAGTCACTTTCGATCCGAATGAAACATGCTATTTTTTCTGCAACCGAAACAATTAACTCAAATAAACATGTGAAGTAACCACCAATGCCGTGCCATATGTATGCAATGCAACAAATATTGACAAATAATCCATGTGGTGAGAAAATTCTACCTGCATTAACAGCAGGTTAGGTTTTCGAGGATGTTCGAATTGTAGTTTCAATATAAATACAACCACAGAGTGACATATTTGTGTATGGACCAGGTGCTCTAATGGCAAATACCGCGCCAGTGCCAGCTATAGGAACAAGGCGTGGAAAATGTTAGGTAAGTGAGCATATCAACAATGATAATTGTGATTATTTATTCCTCTCCAAACTACACTGTGTTTGACTTGATAATAAAATGAAACTAAACAATATCGTTGTTTGAGATAAAAAAACCTATTGCTTGCCGTGATTATTCAAAAACGAGTTATCCATCCCGAGAATAACGAATGAAATACAGATCAAGCAAGTATTTGAATCTTGAAGGCTTCCCTGATCAAAACAAAAATACTCAACTGAGATGTTTATAATTCCAATACTAAACTATAATAAGGTGTATTTATATCTCCAGCATGGGTATGAAAGACCAAATCTGCTGAAATCGGAAACAAATCAGGGATGCGTCTCAACCCAAATAACCAACCGTCACAATGTTGTTTATTCTTGATGACGTCCAGTAGATCCTTTTCAGTTCCTAGGAGCTGAAGTTCAACTCTAGCTCCTAGGAGCTAAAATTCAACTTTAGCTCCTTGGAACTAGATATGTTGCCTAGCAACATACCTATTTTTGTGTCAGTAATAGAAACGTCAATTCAAGAGCTGATTTTGGTATCAAAATGGACGACTTTTGTGTCAGTTGCAGAAAAAAAATTTTTTTTAATTACTGATGTAAATTTTGGTTTCAACGATGAATTACCTGGTGCTGGTTTCGTGAGAGTAGTTTTGACACCATTCGCACTACTACCGTCCTTTTCGGCAACTGCAGACAACTTAGTGGACGACAGCACTTTGGATATCTCCTTCCCTTTTTCCACGTCCGAGTTGCTTGTTGGCGTGGTAACTTGGCCTCCTCTCCGGAATTTTGAGAAAATCTTACGCACTAGGTGGTCTTGGTTTTGATCTAGCTGAGGCTCGTTTTTCCTAAAAATGGGGAAACATGGTGTTTTTGCCGAAAATGAGTAAGAAACTGTTTCATTTAGATAGTACTGATTTCGAAATATTAACTGAGCAAAAATACCGTACAAAATGACTAAATGATAATTACTCAAGTGGCAATTTTATATTTTTTAATAGTAGCGAAAATATTTGGGACAAGAAAATTATAAAACTTTCTTGTTTCTCGGTTTATTTTCAATATGTTCATACATACAATGACTTTGAATGTAAAATTGGCATCATTTTATGAAGTACTCTACTCTCCGTTCATATCATATAAAACCTTTCGCGATCATTACAAAACAATTTCAAAAACATCTCTGCGACTATAACAAAATCTCTGCAACATTTTGAAATACTTTTACAGGAGCTTTTTATACTCTGATGAAATGGGAATGTTATTTGATATATTTTGAACAGTTGCGAATGGAACGATTTTGAATTCATATGATAAGAAACAGTCACAATGAAGAAAAATATTGGAATGACGTAACTCTGAAATATTTTACAAGGAAGTAATTTCAGTAGGTTCACTCAGAACTTGATATTCATAAAGGGAAATTGTTTGTGATATACTGACTGAAATTCGCGATGCGAATGAAATTTCATTGTGAAATACATGGCTTGATATTAACACATTTTTCATGCGCATGCAATAATTAATAGATTTTCTTCAGAAAAAAAAAATGAGCTTCACCGACTTGATAATTTTTTGTGAGATATTTTCATCACTATTTTTCACTATTGTAATTTTCGATATCCTTGCCATTTCCTAATAGCGCCTTATAAATCAGAAGATCATCATGGACAAACATTATGAAATAATTCAGCTACTATGCAATTTCTATGAAATCGGCAATTTGCTGGTAGCATTGCGACAGGAATGAGCTACCAAGCAACTCTTTGTCTACAATAAAACTTTTTAGCCACTATTATAAAACTGTGTTCTCAACAATACCATCATTTGGTATTTTTATGATAAAAACATTATCATTTGGTGGTCAATGTTTGCGTACGACGAAAAAATGGCGAAACCGAAACATGATCAATTCACGTATATGCGACATCATTTGTCATTACACAACACACATAACTTGCTCATGATAGCTGGGGGTATGATTATAGAATATTTGTTTTATCAGCGGTGAAATCGGCAACAGATTCATTTTCGATTGAAAAAAAACATTTTTGAAACATCAAATGCGCTTTTCGTTTTGCCGGAAGAATGAATATTATAAAATAGTTATGAAGTGGTCACTAGAACAACTTTTTTCTCATAAAATCGGAATGGTTTCTAAAGGACCTCTTATTTAACTGTTGTTCAGGGACACAGGAAGTAATAATAAAACATATTTATAATATATTCATACGAGAATTATAAATATCGCCGAAATCACATGAAAATATCTATAAAATGATTCGATTTCGAAGGCAGAGATATCTTATAAGACAACCAAAAATATTCTCTTGAAATGATTTGAACACTGTTTCATCAGATATTTTTCATTCATGATATGGAAACATTTCGGAGATGAATTCATAAAACGCCCTAGATATCAACAACATGATTGTTTTTATGGCTGAATTAATTGGATGAAAATGCATTTAGTATTCATAAAATACTCATGAAATTTAATTATCACAAATCTGCCGAATCAATAACTAAACTATACTGGTTGGGTATTGATTATTTTCAAATCCAGTATTCGAAAATACCGTTTGCCGTAGTAAGCAAGAACACAGCAAATTCCCAAAAACATGGCAAACGGAATGATATACTTTTTTCCCTAGCTGCTCCAAATATAGCTGAGAAGAGCATTTTGTGACTGAACATCGTTTTTCTCGGTTCGACAGTTTTTAAATTTAAATGTGTTCTGCTCATCAGCGCAGAATGCTGCCAGACACAAATAAAATATTTGGAATTCTGGTGACGGAAAATCATTCATCATTTTATTCGACATAAAAATCGCTTGTCCTGAAGATCCTGCTCAGGATAATGAAACAAAGCTATTTAATTATCATGCTATTGTCATCAGTCCTTGATATGTGAGGTTTCAATTCAATTCGACGTTATACCCTAATAGCACACAACGTCCTCGGGATGTCCCTATTTGGTACAATTCAAGTCCGAATGTTTCGGACCAAAAATAAGTGTCCTTTGACGTCCCATCCCGTACATTGCATGCAATGTCCGAGCAAGGACTTCCACGGAATGTCCCAGCAGGTACATAATTCCAAATGTCTTAGAAATAGCATCCCTTAGACGTCCTACGTGATACATATAATAGAATGTCCATGCAAGGACGTCCTTGGCATGTCCCTGATGGGAAATGATTTCAAACATTACTTCAGGGACATCGATCGGATGTACCGAGTACTACATATTTTGGCATGACTTCAGCTCTTATATTGTCCCTTCTAGACAACCATGAGATGTCCCTGATGGTACATGTGCGAGGAAGTTAACTTACACCTCGCCGACGAATGATTGCTCGTAGGCTATAAATACTCCCCGTGAATATCCTTCACGTAAGTCCATTGGACATCCTTGGGAAACTTTTCCATAATCTATTGGGGACTTTCCACGCACCATCAACCCAACTGGATGTCCTCACCAGTTATGCAAGATTTGTTCCTAGAGGGACCCACAAAAAATCAAATTCAAGAATAATTCGTACGTCCCTGGGACATACAATGGAGATCCAATTGATATCCCTCAGCGTTGCTGATTGATATCTCTCAAGGACGTCCCTAGTTGGTCCTTAAGTTGTACATCTGTGCATCCCACAGACGTCCACGGTACCAAATTCGAACGTGCTATGGACGTCCTGAATGTCCCGACAGGACGTCTTATAGATATCCATGGGACATAATTGTGTTATTAGGGTACAAACAAACATACAAACAAAACATACATTACAAGCATCAAGTTAATAATCGCGTGTTAAAAGACTGTATTACCTACGTTCAGCTAATTCCTTTTCCCTCTTGACATCCGCTACTTTCCTAAATATCAATCGATGTCTCAAATTATAGGTTAGAATAAGGTTACGCGCGAAGCTATTAGCGAAAGCTTGATAAAAATCTAGTACTTCTAACAGTTTGTCTCGTTTAATTGTATGTAAATCACAGTAGGTTAACGCTCGGACGTTTGCAGCTGATTGGCCGACGGCATTGTCTTTCCAAAATGAATCACCAAAAACGTCTCCTTTGCCTGAAAAAAAAAAACAAACATCGAGTGATACAATGATAATTACACCACAAGAAAGTGACTCAGCGATTGGATTTGAGTGAAACTGTATTTTCCAATGTCGTTTTCCTGCTTATTGATAATAAACGACGAAATATCAATAGAAAGTCGGTATAAAAATGTCTATAACAACTACCGTGTACTTGGTTGGTTGACCAATGTATGGCGGAAGCAGTGTAGAATCAGTAGCGGTTTACTCAAAGATAAGGAGAACTTACTCAAAATGGTTACAACAACTGCATCGTCTTGGATTACTTCAAACGATCCTGTTATGATAAAACAAATAGTATACAGGAGGATCAAGTTTGAATGACTTATAATTCAGGAATCGGTAGTACCCTTCTTAAAAATATCAGAACTTGATATGTTTATGAACAGGGTTCTACAGTTCTTTATCAATATAGATGTATATAGGACGACCTATTCCTGGAATATTAGTGATTTGAACTTGATAACCCTGTATATCCTGGAGCCACATGAGTTAAAAGGTCTTTCTTGTAGTTCTTCGGATTACCTATTCGATTATGAATGGACTCAATTCGGATAACATGAACTATTGCCAAAATTTGAAGCATTCTGATTCATCTATATAACAACTTTCGAATTCCCATATAAATCATCCGAGACTATAACGATCTTTTGAATAATATATATTTCATTACATTCTTCATCTGTGGATGTATCATATAAAGAAGATTTGTTTTCAGAAGAATGAAATGCCAAATACCAATTCGAAAACAGCAATTTTGTATATTGATTATTGTTCCATTCATCTTATTTTCCATACGTACATTTGGAGGTCAATATCGAAAAACTGTCAATTTTTTGAGGTTAGGTCAATTGAATTTTTTCATCAGTTCATTCCTATCTACAACATACTAGAAATTCAGCCATTTTCAGAAATTTTTTTTCTTGAAAAAATTACATTTGGAAGTCAATATCAAGAAAACTGTCAATTTTTGGAGGTTAGGTCAATTGAATTTCTTCATCAGTTCATTCCTATCTACAACATGCCAAAAATTCAATCATTTTCAGATACTTTTTTTTCTCGAAAAAATGACATTTGGAGATCAATATCGGAAAAACTGTCCATTTTTTGAGGTTAGTTCAATGGAATATATGTACAGTATATCAAAGTCTGCAAAATACCAAAAATTCAGCGATTTCCATCGAGAGCCATTTTCCCTAGTGAGGGGTCCTTTATGAGATGCGGTTCTTCGAATGGGACTTGTTGAATTTTTTTACTTCGTCAGACGAGTGGCTTACTTGTACCTTGTACACATCTGTGGCTTTGTTGACGATAAAATGACTAAATCGTGCTCTGATTCTAGTTGAATGAGCCGACTCAGATAGTTCATGGTACCCAAATCATCCGTTTCCTGAAGCAGGATCGACTTACTCAAAATGGCGACGACCTCATCATCCTGGATGACCTCCAGAGACCCCGTCACGATGAAACAAAGAGAGTCTATGGACTCTCCCGTGTGGTACAAAAGGTCCCCTGGTGCAGAATGGGACATGGTGAAGTGCATCGCCAGGGCTCTCAGGCATCCGTCGGAAGCCAGTCGAAAGGCTGGGTGTTCGTTGAATACTTTTCGATTCAGGTGGACGCATATGTCCGCTTTCATGTCTTTCGGGCAAAAATTGAGGACCTAGGACAAAATTTTAAGGAAAGAAGAAACTCCCAAAGTCATATCTACGCTTGTCAATATCGATTCTCTTTTTGTAACTCGATTCTCAAAGCTATACAACTGAGGTCACTCTGAAGGAGCTGAATATCTTGAGTTTCAAAAATCTCATGAATGATTTTTTCCCACTTGACGCAGTTTGACTCGAAAACATGAATGACTCAACATTTCTACTTAAAATTAGTCCTTCCGTTGAGCATTAACGTTTAACGGGATAACTCGATTTCGAAATTCTGCTATACGTAACTCCTAAATCATGGTTGCTCTTAAAGAATAAAATTATTTTATCCCCTCGATCTAAACCCACTATGATTATAGTTTTTTCTGTGACGGGAAAAAAATTTCAAATTTCATCTTCGTTGACAGGTTAGAAAATGTCACTTTCCATAAATAACCTTTTCCCATGGAGAGAAAGTGAGTACTTTCACGGATATACATACACACTGTTGATGGCTCCTGTTGTTCTATAGTTCCGAAAAATTTGCTATAATAACACCGTCCCCGAGAAAGAACTGCAAGTCCTTTTATTTTCCATTCGACTTCCCGGTTACGTAAATTACTAAACAACCATGAAATTCCCAATTTTTGAAAATCAAATCACAGAATTAGACTGACAGATACTTGATTACCTCAAAAGAATGTTGCCTGTAAGAAGATGCCTGCAAAACTTAAAATTTCACTTCGGTAATTTTTTTATTTTAATATAATGTAATATTTTTTCAATATTGTTTCGTTCTTTTTCCTGCCACAGAAAAAAATAGTGTATTACACACGGGAAAATATTCCTTTCTAGCTCACGGTTTTTTGTCATACAACCTAGCGCTAATATTCACTGCTTTTTTCCTTGTATAATAAATAACTGTGTAACAATGTATAATTCTTTCAGGATCTACCTTTGATGTTTTGATTCAAAAAAGTATCGGTGGTGCAATAAAAATAATGAATGGAATGATAATTATCATGCTAGGTACCCTATAGAAATAGTTATTTATTGTACAAGGGAAGAAAGTACTAGATTTTGACTTGAGGTTGTGCTGTCCGAGAGCAAAATATAATGATTTCTCCTGTGTCCAATACACTATTTTCTTCTGTGGCAGGAGAAACGACGATTCAATATTGAGAAGACATAACATTATTATAAAATCAGAAAATTATCGATTTGAAGTTTTTAATTGCAAGGGTACTCGCGTTGCAGGCATCTTTTTGCAGGCGGCATCATCTTTGTTGCTATGGAAACCTTTTGAAACAATCATAAATATCTGTCCACTTAATTCTGTGATTCGATTTCAAAAAATTGCGATCTTAGTGACTGTTGGGTAATTAACATAACTGCGAAGTGGAGTGGAAGCTAAAAACGACTTACAGTCTTCCTCGACGGAGCTTATTTTTTGGAACTATATGGGACAAATAAGGCACAACAGGAGCCATAAACAGTGCACCTAAATGTAACCGAACAAAAAATACTCACTTTTATGGAAAGTGAAATCTTGTAACCTGTCAACAAATATGAAATATCGAATGCATGAATCGAAATATCGAAAAAATGTAATATTTCATGATTTAGGTGCAGAATTTCGATTCATCTTGAGAACGGTGAATGCTAGGGAAACTGAACAAGACTTCCATTCTTGAGTAGAAATGTTGAGATTTCCATATTTCCTGGTCAAACTGCCGAAAATTGCATGCTTAGCCCTTCCTATTTTCCTAGAATCTGATACAACTTCAAATTATTATTTTCGAAATGGGTAAAAAGAGTTTGATTGGTATAGGGTGATTCACCATAAATGTCTCCATCTCTAGCTCTCTCATTGTCGAACCGACTTCGAAATTTTCTGCTCGGAACAAACAACGATCTACAGGGTACTAGTTGATTTTTTCAAATGTATTCCATATATTTTCTAGAATCTTCCTGAAGAACTGATTCCATCAATACAACACACTTGGGTCTAGCAAAAATAGTTACAGATATATAGGGTGTTCAAAATCAAGTTTTATTAACTTCTGATTCACTATATACTGACATTCAATTGAAATATTACATGGTGGTTCAGAATCCAGAATGCTGATGACCCTGTAGCAAATTAAAAGTTAAGATTGGGGCATGAAAGCCGCCGTTCTGAATAGTTCCGACATGAAAAAAAAATCCTAAAGTTGGAATATCTCTATATTTATTCCCTCTAGACTACAAGTGTGATTTATTGATGAAATCACCTCATCATAGGAACAATCTAAAAATGCAATGAAATACAGGGTGATCCATTCAAAAAAATCAACTAGTACCCTGTAGATCGTTTGTTTCGAGCACCTTGTATTTTCTGATGTAGTGGAAAAAAAAATATCAAAAATCATCTGAAATGATCTCTCAAATTTTGGGATTGGTTAAAAAATAACTGATCTACAGTGTCTCCCACTTTGAGCAGCACCACCTTGGTATTTTCTTAATCGCTGACAGATTTCAAAAATTTTTTGTTTCAACATGTACTTCTCAATGAGTTCTACATTTCTGAGTATCCAACACTCTGATTGCACCACGACACGGCCAACTATGATAAATTGAAAATGCCTAAAATCAGTTAGTATTATCAGGATTTCTTCCAGCGGAAAACTGACATTCTCAACATGCTGAGAACTCCCGCAATTACATGTGGTCAAATTTTCATGTTGATATCATATACAGGGCGTTATTTATTGTCAATTGATTCTTGATGCTTGAAAATAATGAGGAAAGTATAATTAACATCATGATTTCATTCAGATACTACTTAAAAACACCTGTTTCATACTTTTGATCATGACTTATACACAGGGTGTGTTAGTTTGGGTTTGATCATTTGCCGATAAGGCTTCAACTAATTATGTCATCACAGATTGCATGATGAAGTAGAAATCATCAAGGTTTTGAAATACCTACCCTTGAGTTCAGGATGACAAGAATATTTTATCAAGTTTCACTGATGGTATCACCCCAAGAAATATACCAATCCCATCAATTTCCACTCAAGGAGTTCACAAAATGATGATCAAGTCTGCCGTGGAAACGCAACTTTTAATTATCTTTCTTCAAAAAAAATATTCGTAGTTCAAATATAATCCTGTGTATAAGGTCATTATGAAACATGTGTTTTTAAGTACTATCTGAATGAAATCATGATGTTAATTTTACTTTTCTCATCATTTTCAAGCAACAAAAATTAATGGACTATAAATAACGCCCTGTATATGATATCGACATGAAAATTCGACCACATGTATTCGAGGGTATTCTCATCATGTTGAGAATGTCAGTTTTCCGCTGAAAAAATTCCTGATTTTAGGCATTTTCAATTTATCATAGTTGGCCGTGTCGTAGTGCAATCAGAGTGTTGGAAACTCAGAAATGTAGAACTCATTGAGAAGTACATGTTGAAACAAGAAATTTCTGGAATCTGTCAGCGATTAAGAAAATACCAAGGTGGTGCTGCTCAAAGTGAAAATTGACTTGCCGTTAATTTATGGGGAATCGTCAAATAATTCTATCAACCTATTATATTATGTATAGCAATCTTCAGGTATACTTCATACCTTGACTTATGTCCGGAATGTGTCCATGAAGAATTGACACTTATGACACCATTATTGAAAGAGTAGCGTGGAGATGATTTCACAAGAAAAATTGTTTACTTCGAATATTCTACTATTTTCAATATTGTGTGGCGTCGTACCTTGTCTTGGTCCAAGCCTTTGGTCATCGCCCAAGTGGATACGACATAGTCCATCACTCTCTCTGATAAGGCTTTCGGAACCTCGTGCAGCTTCATGAATTCTCTGACGTTGCTCAGCATATCGTGGTATTTGGCGGTCGCTGACGTCATTTGTTGTATGATGGTGGTCACGTGACCGAAGATCGTTGCATATAGTAAGGCTAGAATACAAAGGTTTCATGTTCCAAGCTTCTACCACTAGACATTTGGTAAACAAAAAGCAGAAGGGTTCATTATTTATTATAAACTCGAAGGAATCGTCCTCAAGAATATGGATGGAGTGGAGTCGATTCATATCGCTAAGTAAATATAGAAGAGTGAAAAGAGGAAATAATCTACACTACAAAGTACTTTGTGGACTCACTGTCAGAGTGTTTCAGAATAATGCTGCCCATTCGAATAGACATGATTTATTTTCTGATTTTCAAATAATTATAGTGGAAACACCGAAAAACAAGAAGGTGCAATGCTAGGTTTGAATACTTAATGAAGTCTAGAATAACTCAGGAGATCATTTTAAGACCTGGTCGTCAAATACGTATTGAACACTTGTGAGAAATGAATGACTAGAGGAATGTCGTATCTGATGAATATTTAGATATACAAAAATATTGAATCAGAGGGGCTGGATTCTGGCTTCTTCATCAGATTCACACATAATTGCTTCATACAGATTGTTTATCGATTAATTATTTCAGGGTGTCAAAAATTTGTGAACATTTCGAATGATTATTATTTGTGATATCGCCTGTGAACAAACTGTTTTTGACAGGTTTATCATTGCATAACCCAAAAGTTATAACATTTTATTCCAAAGTTAATGATATTAGCGAAGAACCAAAAATAGGAGATCCATTAGGAAGTATTGAGTGAACAGATCATCGGCTTTTAAGGCGCCATATAATCGTATGATGATGATATACCAGCGGATATATTTCGAGCACCTTAACATTTTGACAATATTGACAGGATTCTGAAAGTACCTTAGACAAAGTGGATTTATCGTCATTCGATTAAAGAAACCTCCAAATGAAAAAAGAATCATGATACGTACTTATTTCAATTCAACCTAGCTGTTTGTTTTAACCTTCCAGTTCTCTATGTTAAATCCTGATGATACGTTATTGAAAAAATATACTACCGGCAATGATCATCATGCAAATGGTGAATATCCTCTCGTTGTCCGTCTCCGCAGCCACGTTCCCGAACCCCACCGACGTCATGCAGGTCATGGTGAAGTACAGAGCCGTCACGTACATGGTCTTGCGCGACGGACCATTGATCAGCTCCGGCGTGCTGGAGTCGTTGGGCCATACGTACGAATACGGGTTCTGCGTGATGTTCGCCAGCTTCCACAGCCAGCTGTACTGTACACCATTATCAGCGTCAGAGCGACCGATCGAATACCTGTGGAAGAGCGATTTTTATTAGTCTTCAGCCAATCATTTGGTTGATGAGTTAGTTAGTTTCCACAGCCAGATTGCTGCACTGGCCGCCGTTGTATGCGTCAGACCGACCGATCGAGTACCTGTAGAAGAGCGTTTTTCATTCGTCAATAGCAGATCATTCGATTGATGAGTTAGAACGTGGTGGAGTCGTTGAGTCACACGTACAAATACGGGTTCACGTGATGTTTGCCAGTTTCCACAGCCAACTGCACTGGACGCCATTATCAGCATCGGAGCGACCGATCGAGTACCTGCCAAAGGGCGCTGATAATTTGTCAATAGTCAATCATTTGGTTGATGAGTTAGGGCGTGCAGGAGTCGTTGGCTCACACGTAAGAGAGTTTTCCATAAGTCGATAGTCAATAGTCAATCGTTTGGTGAAATCATTTGGCCACACGTACAAGTAGTCCAGTCATTATAGACTTTGACCCGTGAATAATTTTTTTATGTGTTTTTTTTCAGGTGTCTCTGGGGGGTCACTGGAAGTGTAAATTCAAAATGGCGATCAAATCAAGCTTTTGCGTATGTTTTTTTTTGTTAAATAACGGTTTTTCTGGAATAACTCGGCCATTTTTGATTGTACAGAAAAAGTTTTGGGACAAAAATTGTAGTAAATTTGGTTCTCTACAAGTTTGGTCGTCACAATTTTTTTCATAGGATCGATATTTTGTAAATTAAACCTGAAAAAAGCGACAAATTCGGAATATTTTCATTATCTCGTTTATTTTCAACCGAGTTTTCAACTTTACGGCATAAATGAAGAAGACTAAACTTGTGGAGAATCGAATTCTTAACAATTTTGGTTATCACGTTTTCGTTCCAATAATCGATATTTTGGGAATTAAACCTGAACAAAGCGACAAATTCAAAAGATTATCATTATCTCCAATGCTTCGCATTTTACGGCATAAATGAAGAGGTTATTCGGCGCAGGTAGCTTGTCTGTCATGTCGGTGTGGAAATATGGTTCCGGAACAATTTTTTTTTTGGGTTTCTTAGCTGATGGTCCTGCCAAATCCATATCCTCTCTTTCTTCTTCGGTCAATTGGTGATGTCCAGTTCCACGTTCGTTAAGGTTCAGTGTTAATGGTGCGGGATCGTCGATGTCGTTGTCATCATCACTGTCTTTGTCATCGACGGCTCGCAATTGTGTGACGTTATCGCAAGTCTGCCCAGCGCAGTTGTGGCATAAGACAAAACATTTCAGTCCTGCCTTACGACACCCACACATTCCTCCGCAATTTTTCGTGCATTAATTCCGAGAATATCGATTTTCGGAAAAACAGGTAAAGACCAAATTTGTCCAAAATTTGATTCTCTACAAGTTTTTTTCTACTCATTTATGGTGTAAAGTTGAGAATAAACGAGATAATGATGATATTTCGAATGAGTCTTTTTTTTTTAGGTTTAATTCCGAGAATATCGATTTTCGTGAAGATGAAATTTGTCCAAAATTTGATTCTCTACAAGTTTGTTTCTGTTCAGTTGAAAATGAATGGGAAATGGAAATGGAATGGGAAAAAAATCAACATCCAAGCTGACATCAGCTTCGGACGAAGGCTCAAATTCTTTACTGAAAGGTATTCTTTAGATTTATAGCTTTCCAGTGACTTGACCACATGACATCCACGTTCTAGTTTTCTGCGCAACCAGAATCCGAATGCCACCAGTTGGTTGTTGCCAAAATCGACATGAACACAAAATTTTAGTGAAAAACATTAGCTGGATGTTAGAAGTTTGAACTTTGCTATGGATAACAAGGGTCTTGACGTGACGTTACTTACAGCACGCACGATATTTCTCCTTCTTTCTTCACAGTAAGAATATCCGATCAAGCAACGGCACAATTAACTGTTTGTCAGACTATACTACGCCGGTATTCCAGCATCAATCCTTGCTAGAAATCAACTTGTTCCGTTCACTCAAGCGAATTTTCGAAAATTATACTTCTCAGGAAGAAGGTTCATTTAGGCCGAGTTAGGTTAGATTGCTTAGAAAAAGTCAAATCATTCACATTCAAGGCAACTTCAGGGGTACCACAGGGCTCCAATTTAGGACCTTTACTGTTCTTACTTTTTATCAATGATATATGTGATCGTATCCAGTCTGCTAAACTACTATTTGCTGATGACATGAAAATCTACAGAGAAATTAAAACTACTGATGACTGTCAACTATTACAACTGGATCTTGATCTAATCAATGATTGGTGCCTCAAAAATAAACTCTCTTTGAATACCAATAAATGTAAAGTCATGACTTTCACACGAAAATCTACCCCAATTTCATTCGATTATCACTTGGATACTCCACAACTAGCACGAGTTCAACAATTCAAAGATTTAGGAATTCTTTTTGACCAAAAGTTGACATTCTCCACTCATATAGAAAGTGTAATAGGCAGAGCTATGAAGTCTTTGGGATTTTTGATTCGTACCTGTAAGGAGTTCAAATCATTTGGTGCTTTGCGCATTGTCTACTTCTCATTGGTGAGAAGTAAATAAGATTACTGCAGTGTCGTATGGAATCCATATCATTCCAAATATATCGAAGCCATTGAGTCAGTGCAAAGAAAGTTTTTAAAATATGCATACTATAAAAAATATGGCGTGTATCCTCAAAGACACTATAGCGATGACCTATTGCTGAACGAATTCGATTTATTTTCTCTTAAAAACCATCGCGAAATAGTCGATTTAACTTTTATGCAAAAAATAATCCATAATCATATCGATTCATCCTCATTACTTTCTCTGATTGATTTCAATGTACCGGGTGACACGTTATAAAGTACCACCCCCTATAACTCTTTTATTTTTGACAGTAGAAAAAAAATAAAAAAACAGCCTTACAGGGGATTTTTTTCCTCCTCGAATCAACTGATATATTTTTAGTATATCAAAGGATATACAGGGAGCAGGAAAAAGTGCAAAAATTTTAAATGGAACGCCCTATATATTTTCGCCCCATTAGATAGACCTTTCGAAGCGCTTTCCGAAAATACCCCACTCAATACATTTATCTTCAGTATTTCTCATAATATAGACGTTTGAACCTGAAAGTCGTTTTGATTGATTTATGATTGAATAACTGTTCTATGATTGTAGATAGTATGCCATGAGGTAACCATGAGTAACTGCAACAATAATGAAGGTTTGTTATGACATTTCATTGTCATTTCTAGTGAAGATTAATCCCTTCATCACTTCTTGTTAATTTCCTCTATAAGTAAGTTTTTCTTGAATCATGGTGTATTCAAATGAAGAAAAGCAAGAAATAGTAACTTTATTCATAGAAAATAATCAAAACGCATCCGCTGCAAGACGTGGCTATGAATTGCGTTTTCCGAATGGTAATATTCCATCAAGGCGAACCATCAAGAACATTTACCTGAAGTTTAGAAGGACTTGCAATTCACAACGAAAAAAAAGGACATGTGGAAATGACGAAAATCATGAATTAAATACCTTACTAAATCATATAGAAAATCCGAGAAAGTCATTGAGGATTTCGGCAAAAGAATTAAGCGCACGTTTCGGACCACATAAGAATTCAAGGGAGAGTATCCGTAGAGTTTTGAAAAAATATAAATTCAGACCTTATAAATTCCATACGGTACAAAAATTTACAGAAATTCATAGAAATCAAAGACTGAATTTTTGCAACTTGATGTTGAATAGATTGAATGATGATAGAAACTTCTTCAAACATATATTATGGACGAATGAATCAAGTTTTTCTACAAGCGGGCTGCCTAATAGACAGAATTTCAGATACTGGGCATCCGAAAATCCACATTTCGCAAGAGAAGTGCGTTGGCAAGGTCGACAAACTGTTAATGTTTTGTGTGGAATACTTGACCATAAAATATTAGGCCCATTCTTTTTTGAAACTACGTTGACTGGTCAATCATATTATGAATTTTTGGAAGACAGAGTAACTGAAATATTGGAAAATTTACCTTTGAGACGATATCAAAGAATAGTGTATCAGCATGACGGGGCTCCACCTCACGTTATACAACGAGTGAAACATTTTCTAGATACAAATCATGAAGAGTGGATTGGTCGGAATGGGACTATCGCATGGCCTTCAAACAGCCCAGATCTTACACCCATGGATAATTTTCTTTGGGGATATATCAAGAATAAAATTTATCAACGGGATCTGAACAATGCTGATGATATCAAATATTTCATTAGACAGTGACAAGTGAATATGCTGAATGAAAGACATGCCCATTTTATAGAAAATGCTATAAACCATTTACAGACTTGCTACGAAGAATGTGTTCAGAACGAGGGTGGAAATATTAGTTGTGATCAATAAATTTGTTATTTTGTTTTTGTTAATTTTCGGAAATTAAATTAATATCACAATTCTGAGTTTCAGCGATCACCTACTGTCAATGAGAATTGAATGTCATAACGATTTATTAATTACCTAGATTCACTGTCATACCATACTCTCAAAAATCATTTGAAAATCGATAAACACTTTTTTCAGGTTCAAACGTCTATATTATGAGAAATACTGAAGATAAATGTATTGAGTGGGGTATTTTCGGAAAGCGCTTCGAAAGGTCGCTTTAATGGGGCGAAAATATATAGGGCGTTCCATTTAAAATTTTTGCATTTTTTCCTGCTCCCTGTATATCCTTTGATATACTAAAAATATATCAGTTGATTCGAGGAGGAAAAAAAATCCCCTGTAAGGCTGTTTTTTTATTTTTTTTCTACTGTCAAAAATAAAAGAGTTATAGGGGGTGGTACTTTATAACGTGTCACCCGGTACCACGATTCGTGTCAAGATCAGATATAACGTTCCGCATTGCTGTGCCCAACACACAACATCACTTCCATTGTCCCCTTACAACAATGTGCCGATGTTACAACAATTTACAAAGTATTGATATATTTTTTCTCTCGCTGTCTCAATTCAAGCATGCATAGACTATTTAGTGCCTTGAGGAACTAGTTTCACATATCTTAGTTCATATTCTTTTCGAGTTATGTATAGATATAGGTATATATTTTTAGCGATCCAACTAATAACCATGTATTATTACATACACCTGTAAATGGGCGTAAGCCTGCTGGATGTATTAATATTAAATAAATAAATAAATAAAGAGTAGTCTTTTTACTTACGCAGAAAGTATATTTTATTTATATTTATCACGTCATTACGTGTAGGTAATTAATAAAGCCACTGATAGAAATAGTATAGTTAGACGATTGTCTGTATATGCATGACGAGGAAAGAAAATTTTTTATCAGTCATGGAATTCAAATGTATCTGTAGGTATATAGGATACATCGACTCACATTCCTGACATGAACTCATCATATCTCTTTTTAACTCCTTACTTCATTCTTGATGGAGGAACAACCATGCTCTTGCCTCGCTTGCAGAAACGTGTCACTATCCATGCTAGTTGATGGATGAATATATCTACTCTCACTATAAAGGAAATTATTAGGTGTGCAATTAGAATGGTTGTTCCTTTGATATGGAAAGTTCGTTGATTGCACCTATGAACTCAAAATTACTGAATTATGCAATCTCAGAATTCACTAATGGGATGTCAATTAGAAGTTGTTAATAAATCAATACGTACCAAATGCAGGCGAGCCAGTGAGCTACCAACATGTAGAAGCACAGCAGCAAGATGAGCATCGCAGCACCGTACTCCAGATATCGGTCTAATTTTCGTACTACGCGGCCCAATCGAAGTAGGCGGACTACTTTCAGGGCGCTGAATAAGCTGCCAATTCCCTAAAAACGGTATCTAATAAGAATCCATTCTGTTCGTATCTCCAGTATGTTTTCTCTCGATGTATTTCAACAATAATTAGTTTGATTCGATATATTCCTTCTGTTTCCTTTGTTCATCATATCAAATTACCATATTCGTTTTCAACGTATCTGGAACTGTTCTCATGAAATGTAACTTCTATGACTTATTGCACTTCATTCGAAAAGCATATACTCTTTGAATAACACGAGATATAAAAAAATATGAAGGTATTCGATTGTTGATTTTATCAAATGCGAGATGCATGAAAAGTGAAACAATTATTCTTTGAGCTTCGAAGAGATGGAGAAAAGAATAGGAAGAAGTGAAAGAGTAATGTACACAAAGTAATGTTCAAACTGAAGACTCTCATTGTATTATCAGCAGGTGTTATCCTAAAAATCAGATGGTATTGCGGTTCAGTAATCTACCATTCAATAGTATATACAGGGTGATTCAGGTTTCAAGGCACAAACTGGGAGTAAGCAAGATATTTCAATTTATAGAAAAAAATTATTAAACTTTGACCCCCTGTAGCTCCGCTACTGAACGAGATCGGACTAATGTTTATGAGAACTTTTTTGATTAAACGGATGAGATCTATCTCCCATTTCAGTTTGTGCCTCCAAACCTGAATCACCCTGTATACTCTAGATATAGTTTTACCAAGTACAAATAAGAATCAAGAGAATCAACCAAACATTTGGCAAAGATGATTTACAAAACTAACCCATCATATCATTTGCCTACCCAACTTGATATTCGAAATCCTTGTATGAAAGTGGAATATAAGGAGAAATATTCACAGGAAGAGAACTGAAGCGCACATGAAATATTCATTCGTTGTTTCTCTGGTATATATTTGGGAAGGATCAGCGTATAGCACAAGAAATTCAGGAGGATTCACATCAGATTATACATAACGAATATAACATTCCACAAACAACAATGATGCAGTCTAAAAACAATAATATATACATATATCATGGCTTTAGTGGATTTGAATGAGCTTGTTTGTCAAAAGAGGGTCGACTCATTGGATTCAAATTGACTTGACTCATAACATGACATGTTTCACTATACGTATTTTATTGTTTTCTTCATAAATAACACATGACATTTATTGTGAAATATTAACACGATAAAGTCATTATGTTTTCAAATAAGGGAATGAAATTGAAGACCTACAATGTACCTCATGAATTTAACGGAAACAGTGAAACAAGAGTAAATTTCTGTTATAGCTGTAGACAATTTTTATTTAATTGGTAGTCAAATAGTACCATGTAATTATTCTTCCACTTGTGACCTTATGACATTGAAGCAATTGGTTTCATGGTTTATCTATACCTACCCCGTAATTATTTGGATGGATGGAATTCGAAACAGAACAAGCAACACAATTTTTTCGCCAAGATTCACATACAAGGATGAACATTAAACAATGGATAGCATAGCGTATAATTATTGAATGTTGATTAACGATTATAAAAATTGAACTGGTTTGAAGAACCACCGCTCCGTCTCATCACGTGACATAACGTGATATACTGTCAGTCAATCACAGGCTTCTATTCATTTCGAGAATTTCAATAGTATCATCTACTGTTATTGATTTGGAATTGCTCATCGGATATACAGCATAATACAGCAATTGATAATCGTTTGGTTGATATAATGTGGTTTCCAGTTGTTTTGAGATTTCTATGTTATCAAAAAGACAACAGCGATGAACTGGTCGAAAAGAATGAAGAATATTCTCGAACGCAAAATACATAAGTTTCAATAGCTATATCACATATTTTCTACAAAGAATTCTTCATAGCAAAAAAACAATATCCTCAACTATTTTCGATCAGTATTTGAGAAATTGATAGTATCCTGTGATTGGTTGACGGAGTATCCTGTGAAAAGAAAACAGTTGAGTAGTAGGGGTTCTCTGAACTGACCCAATCCCTACTGATGAAACAATTCCAGCAACATGAGCAAAATTTTGTTCATTAATCAAACTTGCTGGTTATAGGCTGTGTGGGTGATACTCAAAATCACATGATAGACGGATACTTTTATGATCAATAACTATAGCTCATTACAATTTGATGCAGATTTGATGTAAAATTGACGACGAACGCTGAAAAATCGTGACCATATAATATCCATTTCAGGCATGATTTACCTATTTCCATACATATAAAACATTTTATGTTTCCTTGACATTTCAGAAAACAATTGAGATTAGTGCACTGAAAGCTATTATTTTCGACGTAAAACGGTTTATGACCCACAAAGGAAAACAAACTTATCCAACAAGTAGGAAGGAAGGATCCTGTATATATTTGTAGACCGCAATATACACAAGTAATACAACGACCAACCTCAATTATCAGAGGTTTTTTTATCAAAATACTGGAAGAAAATTGTTACACAATTCTTTATTGAAAATCTATGGATTATAATGTTTTTTTAGGTTTATCTAATTTACGACATCTCTAATATCTATTGTTATATTGAAACAAAATCAATGTCTATTCACTTGATACATTCTATCTATGGGTATAGGTAACTATGGTCTATTCAAACAATACATGACATCTTCTATGAACATCAATCAATCTATCTATTAGCTCCTACCTCCAATCCCTGTTATAGGGCTGGCCCTCTTATTTAGCTAAACTGGCGGAATGAAAAAGCATGTTGGATAGATATTCAATAAAAGATCCAATTGGAGGTATCAAAATAAATTTTGATTGGAATACTGAGATGAAAACAAATTTCATATTCGAGTTGAATATATGTTCTAGTTCAACTATACAGGTTGAGTTACATAGGCCACACATTAGAAGTTTTCCAACAATCACAGTTTTTGGGATATGTTATATGTTTTAAAGTTAATTACCACCTTATAGTTCCATTTGTAAATGAAAGCAAAAACCTAGGTTTATGGATTGATACGGATCTGAGATTTACAAAACACGTCAATCATTTATGTAAAGTATCTTATAATGTACTACGGCAGTTATATCCTAGTAGATACTTAATGTCAAAAAAACTGAAACTGAGTCTATGCGAGTCCCTGATATTTTCAAGATTAGCCTACTGCGACTCTATTTATGGACCAGCTTTACAACAACAGAATGTTTCACGGCTGCAAAAAATCCAAAATAGTTGTATTAGATTCTCATATGGGATACGAAAGTATGATCATATTAGTACCTCGTTTGAGGATTCTGGTTGGCTAAAAATGAAACAGATAAGAGAAATGCACCTCCTCACCTTCACGCATAAAATTTTGCATTCAAGATCTCCACCATATTTACGTAGGAAATTGGTTCCACTATCACAAAATGCAACTTCCCGAAATAAACATTACTTGCTGATTCCTAGACATTCTACCGCAATGTATACACGAAGTTTCTCTTATAACGCTGCTAAACTGTACAACAGTATGCCAATTGATTTAAAAGATTGTAGTTTACAAAATTTCAAAAAACGATTGAAAAGCTATGTTCAGAACAAGGCAATGATAATTCAATGACGTTTGCAGTGGTTTCCGGAATTCAAAATTTGATAAATATTTAAAAAATTAAATAAATTCTTTAATGTTGGAATATTTAGTTTTATAGTATATGCGTACATGAATTATATTATTTTTCTTTGTTTGGCAATACTATATATTATAATATATGTATTTGAAGGTTAGGTTTAAAAACAGCTTCATCAGCTGAACCTCGCCCATTCGTCATTCATGTATTATTTATTCTATGTTTCATAACATGTTTTTTTTTACAGAATGATGAATAAAGCCTATTATTATTATTATTATTATTATTATTATTATTATTATTATATAGTCCAGTCGGCAGGTAGTTTCAGCGATGAAAAATTCAGAAGTCAATGAAATTTCAGTATGACGTTTTTACATGTTTAGTGATGCCAAATCCAAGTTCTCGACCTCGAGGAAGTTGTGGAAAATTTTTGGCGGCCAAAAAAACCTTGAACTTTTCGAACTTGTTTCAGTTTTTCACCAATAACTCGACAACGGTCGATCCTACGTGAAAAAACATGGTATACTAAACTGAAGGAGACAAAATTTCTGTCCTGTCACGGAAAAAAAACTGAAATCGGAGCTGTAATGAAGTTTTCACGAGCGATCAAAGTATTGTGATTATTTCCAATTTTGGTAAAAACTGCCATCACCCCATTTTCAAAGTGCCGTAATGTTTACAAAATTACTTTTTTTCCAACCTTCCTCCTTAGAGTTTGTAGAGTATCAATCAGAGAGTTCAAAATGCACTAACATTTTGAAATCAGCTCAATTTTTGAAATTGTTGGGACTGTTTTTAAAAAATTTGCGTTTCTCGAAAATAGCTACCTATTGATTCTCTCTTTACTTTGGGTAAATGATCCCAATGACCCATGATCACCTTGTGATTCCGTCTCAATTTCATTGATATCTAGGAAAATAAAAATGGTTGACGGAGAACAATGTCATACCCAATAGATAATGAATGTAATTACGTGAAAAAATATATTTACGAAGAATTCATTAGTAGGCAGCATAAAAAACATAAACATATATACATACTATATAATACATAATGAAACTTTATATCGAGTCTTCGAATGTTCTGTTCTGCGAGAAAAAAGGCAACAATGAAATATTTCATGTAAAAAATAAAAACGCTAATAGATAATAATGAATGGAGATACATACATTGATTGAGTCGAGACCCTTTTGGCTGAGGTTCGACGCGTCGTCCTCAAGTTCGTGCTCCTCTTGGGCTCCTCTTCGTCGTCCTCATTGAGTTCTGGTACGCGCGAGTTCTCGCGGGCGTGGCCGGAGCAGTGCTTGCAAATAACTGAGCACCGCAGGCCGCTACAGGTGCTGTAGCCTCTGGCACACTTGCAGGCAGGAATCTTTAGGAGAGACTCAGGGGCTGCATTCTTCGTAGTGGTGATAGGTACCACTCCTTGCTTGGTTAGGGACCACCCCCAATCTGCAGGGATCTTGTTGTTTCCTAACCAAGTTTGTACCTGCTGGTATGTACGGAAGGAATGATACCTACCAGCATCACTAGTAGGTGGAAGCCTGGCAAGTTGAAATTTGGCTTTTGACACCGACTTGGTGAATATTTTGTATCGCAGTCCATCGAGGTTTTCTTGCTCGGGGTCTCCTCCATACATTGTCCGTGGCCGTGGTCACGATCATGACGTCTGAGTCTTCTGAAGCTTGGCGAACCTTGATTCCGTTGGCTTCCATCTCCGTCATTACCATGGCAATCAACCTCTTCTTATTGAAATCGTTGGACAAGAATTTCTCTTGAGCCATAGTGACAATTGTGGAATCGGTGAAAGAATATTTTGTAGACTGCTGCAGAACAGCTTGACGACACCGCTCTACATCACATCAATGGCGTACCCATCAAAAACTACAGTGATATTCGTCCCGGAGTGATTCAAGATATGAACCACATAGTTTCTGCACAACGTGCCAAATGTAGTTGAAGGTGATTTTGGCCAAACCACTTTGTGCAGTAGGTACCCCTCATCTATAACTGCGCTAAGACTTCTGCCAAGCTCGACTTCCCCATGAGGTGTAAAAGCTGAGTATAAAGGACTTCTGTTTACGCAACTTTGCCTTTCTTCAAACTTTGTTTTATCTCTGACGGTTTCCATATAACAGAATTTGTGAGAGCTTGTGTAAGGATAATTAATTCTTAAGATTTATTTCTGCCTAAATACAGTATGTTTCACTAAGTTGGAACCATATGGAAAACAACTTGTTTATAATTCATTTAAGGAAAAAAAGCTATTCTTCATAAAAAGTTTTGCATATTCTATAATCTGAAATACAATCATCAGATATCAAATTTTTTCAGTCATATACGAGGTGTGTCAAAAAATGTGAATTGTACCCAAGAGTGAAGTACCTTTATATTTGACACACCGTGTATTAGACTGAAAAAAAATGATATCGGATGATTGTATTTCAGATTTTAGAACACACAGAACTTTTTGAGAGGAATAATTTATTGCCTGAAATGAATAATAAAAAAGATGCAGCACTTTGAAAATGGGGTTATGGCAGGTTTTACCAAAATTCCAAATAATCACCATATTTCGATCGCTCGTGAAAACTCTACTACTGCTCCGATTCCGGTTTTTTTCTCGTGAGTCTACGGGGAATTTTGTCTCCTTCAATTCAGTATACGATGTTTTCTTACGTACGATTGTCAGTTTCCAAGTAATAGGTGAAAAACTGAAACAAGTCCGAGAATTTCGAGGTTTCTCACATTTTGGTAATAAAAACGAGTTATACTTGAGTGTCAAATACGTAGAACGAGTCGAAAAGGGAGAATCTCGGGGAGAATCTTCTCATCATATTGAAAGCAACCTCAATTTATGGAATTATCCCACCGAATCTCTCACGCAGCAGAATTATTTCTCGATAATTCTGCTAATAGGGAGATTTTAAATGAAAATTAAACCACTTTTGGCATTACTACTGAATACACACTGGCCCTATACTTACATCTTCGTCATGGTCGAACGCATTGAACACGTCGTAGGGCAGGCAGCTCAGCAGATCGATGATGAACCAGCTCTTCAGGTAGTTCATCCTGATGACCTTCGGATCAGAAACGACCTCTCCGCCTGGTCCGACGAACGTCGTATGAAAATTCAGAACTATATCGATGAAAAATATCACATCCACTATGGAGTCCACCACCAAGAGGGAGACGTCCTCTGAAGTTTTGTTCTTGAAGGCCACGTTGTACGGCACCTGTGGAGGTCATTCGGTAATATACTGACAGTGGCGTAGCTAGGTAACCAAGATTCAGGGGCAAATCAAAAAATAGGATCCTAACTGCTACCTTAACTGGTTAGGTTTCATCAAGTGAAAATATTAAATATACAAATACTTTAAAAATGCTTAGCTACTTTATTATCAGTTCTTTTTCATACACTGCATTAATTTGGGTTTAGTTTTCGCGAAAGTATCAATAACTTCGGTTCAATCCAGGCTTGATGCGGTTTTGTTTATTTTCTACGTGTTGAATATCGCAATTATCATAAAAACTATATGGTTTTCTTCTAATAAATGGTTGTTGTATGTTGATGTTCATGAATGCGCTGATTAAACGTACGACCTGTCTGACCGATATATTCCTTAGGACAAGATCCATAGTTGAGTTTGTATATCCCTGATTTTTCGATTTCAGAAGTTTTGTCTTTATTATTCTTGATAAACTTTTCCAACGTGTCATTTGTTCAATATGCTAAAATGTCCTGAAGTCGAAGTGTAAAGTTTTCTTTGACCACCCTGTATATTACTCTCACGTAGCGAATACTTTTGTCAATACTACCCGAAAAAATATTCAATATTCTCTGAGTATCAAGGATATGGAAATATTTCCTACTTATCTCCATCAGGATTCGAACTGTACTACTTCTATAAAATATTTATTTGCCGCTATTTTCTGTAGTTTTAGGAAATTGTGTGTCACAGAAGCAATAAATACCAAAATATCAACAGATATTTTTGATTTCATAACATATACAGGGTGATTCACATGAGAACCGTCATAGAGCAGCGGCATGTAGGGGGTCCCAAAATATGGCAATTCAACGCAACTTACCTCTATACCAAGTTGCTTCCCTAAGGAGATATAGGCTTTGAAAGTGAAGTTATAAATTTTGAAAAAAATCAATATCTTCGTTATTCTTGAACTTAAAGCAACCAAATTTGGTACACTTTGTATATTCAGGGCGTTACTTGACAGTTACTAGAGTTTAATTGAAATTTGTAAAGGGGGTATACCGGGTGGCGCACCATTAATATTCAACATAATTTTGTTAACCCTTGATGGATTTCAAAAATCTTTGCTTTGTTTCGTGGGCAATTCAATACTTAAACTTTTATTACTCCAGTAATATTTCGAAAATCCTCATCATTTTCATCAAAAACTCGAATAACTGAAAACGCGCGCTCTAGGTGTGTTATTTAAAATCATCGAAAATTCAAAAGTTGGCTATGAAAATAAACGTCAAACTTGACAATGAGGCAAGTGAGTTGATCAATTAAGTAATTGTTGTTTGAGTGTTTTTAAAATAAACAGGAAGTTTTTTTTTAACGAGCAAGTTGACATGCTGTTAGTGCTATGCCTATAACTCCTCAGAAAAGTAACTTGGTATAGAGGTAAGTTGCGTTAAATTGCCATATTTTGGGACGCCCTACATGCCCCTGCCCTGTGTCGGTTGTTATGTGAATCACCCTGTATAGGGTGAAATTTAATTGATTGGTGAATATGAAGTATATGGTTCCTTAGCTATAATTTTGAGAAGAAAAGTTCATATAAACAAATGCCCTAAACCTTTATACGGTGTTAACATTTCAAGAAAAAAATCGTTTCCTTTTCCTAAGTTTGATACCTCACCAGATATTTCCATGGAATTTGATATGCACCTACTAAGCATCAATAAGCATTTTTGGATGCAGAAGATTTTTCATTATCTCTACCAGTGTCGTACATAAGGGATGTATCCTGGAGAGTTTTCGAAACAAATATTGTACGCCCTTGATTTTTCCGAGAAAAAAATTTTTTTTCGACATCCTCATTTTTTCTTGCAACTATTGGACCTCAATCTGTTTTTTCGTCCGAAGAACCATTTTCGTGTAAAAAAATAAAAACAATATTCTTGCATTTGTGGCATAACGAAATTATTTTGAACTAGTAGGCTATGCTCTATTTTATATTTGGAATAATGACATTTGATCGATTACGTTGCGGTCTTGTTTTGGCTAGTTTTCATAAACGTGACAGTTTCTTACATTGTGAATGTTTCTTTAATCAATAAAGAGAAGATAAAATGTTAACACCATATAGTTCGAAAGGAGCTTAGGAACCATTTCCTATATTGTCAGCTATAAATCAAATTACACCCTGTATAATCCCATATTCCATAATATGTGACATTTTACATGATTAATCGATCGGGAACTCTCATTGGCTGTCAAGTATCAATTGCAAGAGTGGACACGGTGAAACTCCAAAGAAAATTGAAGAGGAAATGTGGGAAATTCGAGCGGACAAAAGAACTGAAAAGGGGCCCTGACAAAGGCAAACTGAAGTAGCTGATAGGGCTTCAACCGGAGTCCTAAATAGACACTATAACTTCAACAGGTATCTTTAGCTAATGGGACATTGTGTTATAAACGGCATTAAAGCTCCCTTATCATTCAACAGCAGATGAAGAACAGGGTTGATTACGAAATATTATAAAAAATTATCTCGTTGAATTTGCCTTTTCTACCATCGACATCCAAATAACTTCAGGTTATGATTTTAAGCAAATGAGCCACGAAAAACAAAAAATTTATTGAAGAATATAAGTCACTACTTTATTGATGATCAAGTCTAGGTAATTTTCACAGCGAAAGCTTTCACCATCATGAAATACATCCAGAGGACGATTCATAGGAAACGGAGATTTATGCCCCAAATAAAATATTTATTCGTGGACTGGGATTTATTGGAGAGGGATCAGATTCGCGCCTATATCATCGGTAAATACGGACAATATGGATCAGAATCAGATCCATCAAAACATTTTACAAGCAACTAATCATCAGAGGTGGTTTTGATTTATGGGATGGAAAGAAATGATGTATTATACTTATGATTAGAACATCCAGGACAACAAGAAACAATGAAGGTGCATATAAGAATATCTATGTTGGGTTTTGGTAGAAGAAAGAGAAAATACAACTGACAGAACTATGAAGCATGTAAGATGGAGCACTTTGTTTGTATTCAGTGGGCAAAATGTTCATGTAGACTGCGAGGGAATATACAGTGTGATTCACTCAAAACCGGAACATCCTTTTCCAATTTTCAAGGAATACATTGCATTGGCGATGTTTTGTAAGAAAATTTTACTCCACTACTGGAATCAGCATCCTCATTTGGGTAAATTGCGGAATTTCATTGAAAAATTTCGATTTGCAATAATACTATACTTATCATTTCCTTATCATTTCCTTATGGGTATATTAGAATTCATGAAACAAAGTATTCACTAGAATGGTTTTTAAGGAGGAGGTTCATTACTTCATTCTATAAAACGCTTACCATTCTAGATATAGTATATCTCGAGAATAATTCGAGATTTCTATTTAGAATTTTGCCGAGAATTTGTCTGGAATATTCATGAAAATTGGTAGGTATGTTACAAAAATCAATGTTTTTATAGGTATATAACTTTGTTGTCAATCAAAATTCTTCTTCAATTTCAGATTATTTCCTTATTTTACAACTTTGGAATCCAAAACAATTTCACATTTTTCCGATATTTCACTTTCAGTTTTGGAATGCAAGGTATCTCACAACTTTACGAAAATTATCCATCGTATTTTTCTAATCATCTGATAAAAACCTACTAGTTTACAGAAAAAAATACCATGATGGCCGTGTAGAAGGTTAGACAGAGTATTATCCAGTCCCATATTGCTTTGAAGGCGCAGTAATGCAGAAGAATATGTGGAGGGGTTTTCGGAGCTTCTTGTCGATACTGGGGCATTATATCGGCTGTCAAACTCATCATCTATCAAAAAGCAAAATCCATAGCAGCGTGAAAAAGAACAGTACGTTAGTGGGTTAAGGGTCAGGTTGGGTTAAGGGTCAGGTTGAGTTCAGGGTCAGGTTGAGTTAAGGGTCAGGTTAGGTCAAAAAACAACGAGATCACATTGCGTGGTGTGACCTCGAAGCATTTTGATCAGGTTCTAGTTTTTCGACACAAGTTCATCAGACAGTATTGTGATTACGAATTGTATTCATCGGGATTATTCCACTCCCTTCATGAAACTCTCATCTGACCAAAAAGCATTGACGAAAAACAGATGTGAACCAATCAATAAAAGTAAACAGGGTGCTTTGATAGCTCCAACAACTCCGATAGGTGGCATAAGCTTATTTTCTATCGCGAATTGTTACCAATCTGTCTGACTGACATTTATGGCATTTGTGGTTGCCATATACGCGTGATCTGAAGAAGCAGCCAGGATTATTTTATAAGGGGTCTCTCAATCGTTTTTACGAAACAGTGGCACAAAATTTCAAGCTTGGAGAATGGGGCTTGGCCTTAGTCCAAAAGCTGATAATATCCAAAATACAGTGTTTTATTTAGAATCGATCACAGTTTGAGGATAAAATAACCATCGAACAAGTATTTTCGGAACTGGAGAGAGTTGAATTGAACTAGATCCTCCATATTTAAGCTTCCTGTACTACCTGTATATATTATACGAAGATGATAGTGAAACCTCCATCTAGAATTCCTTCATGGAGGCATGAGGGCGAATAGAATATCTAAACCAAGATTGTGATACGATTCATACTGATGATAAACAATTAATATGGTATTCGGGCAATTCTCATGTCATCTGCATAATTCAACCACAATGATTATCTGAACTGGAATAGGTACCGAATAATGACTATTGAACATCAATTGTTCTAACAATTTTAGAGTAATGAGCTCATCATTTCAGAACAGGAGGTCTATGCAGCAGTTTGAAGTTTTGAGTATACAATTTTGTTACAGAAGGTGATGAAAAATACCCTTTCATTGGTCAAGTTCTAGCAGTAAGCACCATTAGTAGGTGTCAATTATATAAAAAAAAATTCAATGTCTCTCTTGTGACTCACAAACTGCTTCAAGGATCCATCATAGCTAAGTGACCTTCAATTAAAAATATGTGCTGCATCGTGGCTGCAACTTCAATCAACACTGATACTGTCATATTAGTTGTCATATTTTGGGCAAAATAGAATGTTAAAATCATTTCAATCTTCATAACTACTGGGTGATAATGTGTAGGTATATATAGTTTTTGTAGAAAGGATGATTTCGCAAATTAGATTCCCTTCATTGCAATTATTGAATTATAGTCGACTCTTACACGTTAAAATTTCCCAGTTATCTGACGCTCTTATTGATGAGTATACTTACTAGTTTGTTTATAAACTAAGAAAAACTCTGGGAGCTGTGTTCAAGGTCATGCCGTATGTTTGACCAACTTCTGCGAGGTTCATTATTGAGAAAAAAACTCTGTATACAATAGTTGTCGGGTTTGTTCTGAACCTCCAGAAACTTGTACAAGGTGAAACAAATCAATATCGCTGATATAAGTGATGGGTATCAACTTCGTGATTTTCAATAGAATACTTTATATTTAAGAAAAAATTGAAGATCTCTCTTTTCTGATTTCAACAATATATTGGTTGTTGATATTCGGTTCAGCCGTTTATGAAATATTCGGGGACGAACATTTCAGAATTAGTTATTGTTTTATTTCACCAAATCACAATTGCCATGAAGAATCTACAACATAGCCACCTTTTGAACAACACATAATATGCAGGTTGTCATTGATCAAACTTTCTGTCATATATTCATCGCATAAAATTATTATATCATTGTTATTATCGTTTTTATTATTATTGGTATTTTCGTAGAATGAACCGATAATAATTTCCAATTTTTCATCGTCATTGAAACCCATATTCCTTTCAAAATTCAATGAACACATGACAAAAAGTTTGATCAATGACGCAACCTGCATTGTGTTGTTAATTCCTTATGGCCACTGCGAGTCGGTTAAACCAAATTGTTACTAAAAAATGTTCAACCTCGAGTATTTTGAAAACAGCTCAACTGAGTACCAACAACCTTTATAATTTCAAAATCTGGAAAGGAAGAATTTTTTCGAAAAATATATAGGGTATTCCATTGGAAGTTGGTACCCATTTCTTATAAAAACAATATTCATTTGTTCAACCTGGTACAATTTGCTGATGGCTCAGATCAAACTTTTGCATCTAAAGTTTCTTTCTATTTTCAATGATGACCCTTTTGAAGCTGTTCAAATATACGAAGTGACCATGTACTATCGAGGTACACCACTTTAATTGGTGATTATACCGCAGAGAGATGAGAAATTCATATAGCGAGTGAAATTTTCAGCTAACTAATAGCATACTTGTGCCAGATGTGACTGCTTGGTGGTGTCCTTGAGGTTGGGAAGGTGTGAAGAAAACTGAGACACCAAGACTGATCGACTCCTCGTTACGGAACGTGCCAGCTTCGCGAACTTTGATAATCCTGCAAAGAACTGTTATTACATATTGTAAAATTGGTAGAAAATGTCTTGCAGTTGTAAAACATGTGTGAGTACTGTTGTTTCTTCACTCAGCACATGAGTTTTCTTATCAGTTCAATCGAACTAAACTGTTTCTGAGCATACAGTTCATTGTGAAGAGAGGTTATATCTATCATCTTCTTAGTTCTATTTTTTTAATCTATTTGAGTATTTTAAATCACTTCCAGCAGGCCTAATGCTTCAATATTGTTCTGGTCTTGAAAGTATTATGATCTCACAAACTCACTTCAGAACGATGTGAATCGTCCAAGACATATTGTGAATCCTTTATTAAATTTTTACTTGAAGCATGGAAGCAAAATGTGAGTTTGTTTTCGAGAGCTGAATTGAAACTTTTCCAGGAGTTCAACACGATGAATTATAACTCAATTAACATAATTTCCTCCAATGATTGTTTCCTAAGAACTTGTCAGTTTCTTCTTCAATGCTTTCACGGAAATGATAGATATGGGATTCTTTGATTTGCTGAGAATATTGCCATTACGAATGTTCAGAAAGCATATAATATATGCAGTGTTAACAAAGTAGTCAGGAAATCAACCAAAATAATTAGCTAACATTTGCATGATTTGTAAGCATAATAAGATATCGATTGTCAGCTGGCTTAGTGTAACTGATGAGGCTTGGCAAGCCGAAACAGTCTGTCTTGCATCAGTTCAGAATTAATTCACGAAATGTCCCCAGAATACCTAAGGCTTCAGAAGCTAGGTTTATCTTAAGTAATATCACGATGTTCCGAATATTCGAGATAATTTTGTCGCTTCATTGTTCACACGAAATTGTGTTGCCGAAAAACACCATTTTGGTGTAAGGCAACACAAATAATTGAGTTAACAATGAAACACAGAATTATTATATTATTATTATAGAAGATATTCAGAACAGAGTCGTATGCTATACTATTTCACGTTCACGAAGCATAAAGAGCTTTTATTACAAATGATTATTGATTCGTACAGCCATAATTATTTCATGAAAAACTGACAGATTTTGTTTCGCTATTCATGGTGACAACCAGACCTTGCTCTTCGCTATCCAAACATTAACGCTGATGGACTAATCAGAATTGAAATACAGCTAATATTTTCGCGATAAGGGCTTGTGATTGGTCATATTATGTGATTAGTAAAATAATCAGATATTGAGAAAAAATCAATACCTAAACCGCCTTTTGTATCTTCTGTTTCTATCGGCTGCTTCAATGCTGTGATGTCTCTGAAGGTCAATAGAAATAGAACGACCAAATCTCTTTCGTTTTTGATTGGCGATATCTGCAATAGGAGCCATAGTGGGGTTTCTGGAACAAAAAGTACCTGGTGATAATTTTGATTGACCATTTTGTTCGACTACACACGATTTATCCAACCTACCATATTTTGAATGTGCTATATGTGTTCTTTGAACCTTGTTTTTATGGGTCGCCTGGTTTGGCCTATATATGTTTTATCACAATCATTACAACTTATTTCGTATATTCCCGACTTCTCAAGTGTGTCCACTTTAACTTTCGGATTTCCTAATATATTGCCTAATTTTTTATACCTTTCTTAGATGTTCTGAAACTAACACATTGAGATAGATACATGATGACTCTAATAACTATTTCCAATACAAAATGGCAAGTTTGAATTTTCTAGTTCATAGATTAATTTCATTTCCTCTGAGCAAAGAATGATTCGATGCTGGGAGGAGTGTTGTTTATAAAGTGGCTGGCGTCAATGGCTATGATATCAAACTAGTAGATAAATCAATACGTAGACATGAATTTAAGTTAATACTTCGAAATTCTATGACTTTTCAAGTGAATGAAAATAACTCTAGAAGAATCTCAATCCCGTTCAATCCCAAGTATATAAAGGGACTTGATGAGGTTTTCAAAGACTTAGGTTTCGAACGCGTTTGTCAGTCTGGGTCAAAATTAGTCAATTTATCAGGAATTCCTAATGATAAAGTGGACACACTTGAAAAGTCGGGAATATGCGAAATAAGTTGTAATGATTGTGATAAAACATATATAGGCCAAACTAGGCGACTCATAAAAACGAGGTTCAAAGAACACATATCACATTTAAAATATGGTAGGTTAGATGAATCGTGAGTAGCCAAACATATGTTCAATCACAATAATAACACACATATTACTAAACTCAAATAAGTAAAGCATGTTAATATTAGAAAATTAGACGCATATGAAAGCTTCGAGATATTTAAGAATAGTAATAGAGTAATGAATAAGGATAATGGACCTATTCCATAAGCCCACTTTATAGTTTAGGTATATGAAAAATAAGATCAACATGTGAACTCAACCATGAAAAACATTAACTTGGCGATTAGTATTTTTCACGGTTGGGTGAACGCATACCTAGTCCATGAACAGCACACTAGAATAGGATATTTAGTTTTAATCTTCTCTTGAAGATGCTAACATAGTTAGCGAAACACGTGTCGAGGCGTTTAAAAAAATTGGTTTGGTTATTGGTAAAACAGTGAAGTGTATGAACACAACAATTCGATGTAAATGTTTCGTATACTTTCATAATCAAGTTCTCTCATTGAAACACACTATACACACTGTTTTACCACTAACCAAACCGAGTTTTCACACCTCGTGTCTCGCTAACTATGTTATCATCATCAGGAGATGATTAAAACTAAAACTCTGTTTTCAGAAACTTCCGAATTTCTACCATCTGAAATGAACGAGATATTCTATGAGAACAGAAATTTTATATTTCACCCGGTATTTTGAGGTGAATCAAAGACTGTTGATCATTTTTATGGCCTGTGAAGATCCTTCGCGTTTCATCCCGGAATATTGACATTCACCAGATAGAAATGTAACTGGATAATTCAGCTAGCCAGAAGGCTCCAGACAACTATTCCATGGAATACCCAACAAAGAATCCGGAGAATCTGGAGAATGTTCGCAAGGAAATAAAGTGGGTTATAGCGGGGGCGGCTAGCTTGGAGCTGAATTATCACTGTGTAAAGAGAACAGGGTTGCCATGTTAGCGGTTTTGTCGCTGAAGCTAGAATTTTTAGGGTAGGTGCCTGCGACATTCCAACCTGCAGGAAGGGAGATTCTATTTCACGAATCCAGTCGAATCGGTCATCTTTATTCGATATTCGGTATACTGTTCCTCGAATGAATCGTGTAAACTCGACTCGGTTCCTTGATAGCTCAAGAGGAGTCGAGTCGATGCGTTCTGTCAATCTATCCTTATACAGGGTGAGTCATGACTATTAGGACATAGGCTAAGAGCGGATTGTTTAGACCAAAATATGGCGATTGGACCAAACATGCCCCAATGAAATATTGCTGTGAAAAGAGATACAGGGCGTTAAAATTGATTTTCTTCGTTTTTTGTCGGTTTTTTGCCAATAATTTCACTCTATATATAGAATATATTCGAAAAAGTTTAGTGATTTGTTTGCTGTCTGCCTAGATATAAGATATATCACAATGCATACCTTCTAGATGCATCCAGCATTTCTTCATTCATAAAATGATTGTGACAAGGCATTTCAATCGAGAAAAATTTGACTATGAACTCGCACCAAAATTCATTCTCTGACAAGAAATGCCATAACCAGCAACATTATCTGACAGTTCGAAGCACTCTCTTCGTGGATAAAAAAAAAAATTGTAATCAACTTCTAAGACTCTGAACTGTTCAATAGCATGTTTCTCGCAAACGGATGAAAATATCGTGTTCAAACAAGAGTACCAATATTACGTAAAAATGATGTTCAGGTCATATTTTTTAATCAAAATCACTCAAAAGTTTCGTCAGAAAAGTAACCAGGCGATTTCATCATCAGGAATCATTCGCGTGGCGCCCCCTGTATCGAAATGTAGAAAAGTACATTGAATAATATTGCCTGTATGAAATTGTGCCCCTGTGCCAATTTTGATAACAATTGATGAATATAAAAATCGTGAAAATCATCCATATCTGACTTTGAGTCTTTTGTTTTTTCTTTTGATGAATATACAGTGACATTATTAGCAAAAAACGAAAATAAAAAGTCAATTTCAACGCCCTGTATCTTTTTCCACTGCAATATTCTATAAAGACATATTCAGTCCTATCGCCATATTTTGGTCGAAACAATCCGCCCTTAGTCTATGTCCCAATAGTTATGACTCACCCTGTATATCATCGAATGTTTCTTGTCATCTTAATACTCCATAAATATAATATATAATTGATTTTCGATGTCGTTCAAACTGAGAGATGCCCACTGGGAAATGTTAATAACATTTTTAGAACAGCACAGTACATGACCACGGCCACAGGATGATTGTCAGAGTGTAATGGTCTTGACATCAATAAAATACTGTGAATCAGGCTAAGCCAAGTAATCCTGAGAAATGACATAAGATCGGCCAGGATCGGTTCAGGAACGACACCCATTAGACCAGAACCGATATTGGGAATACCCAATAGTACGGCTATGTCGTTCATGAAGGAAATGCTACAGAGGCAGTTCCTTGAAACATGGTGGGACACACCAGGAATGAGACAATCAAAGCTCCATATAAAGGAACCTTCAAAAAGGCTCACGAGAGAGATCCTGTCACTTGATAGAAGGGATCTCAAGATGGTAGTTGGGCTCTTAACTGGGCACAACCACCTCAATAGGCACCTAGAACTCATAGGGATCAAAGATAATCCCATCTGCAGATGGTGCTTGGAGGATGATGAAACATCATCACACATACTCACTGATTGCCCCGCGCTGGTGCATCAGAGGAAAGCTGCCTTTGGGAGCATTGTACTGTACCCAAAGGATGTGAAAGTGACTCAGCTGAGGAAGCTGCTGAATTTCCTCAAAGAAATCGGCATGCCCAGCTGATTCACAGGACAAGTGGGCGCACAATGGGCCCGACTGAAGAGGCCTGAGTGCAGGGGTCTACGCACCCGCCCACCTGTGCAGAGAAGAAGAAGAAGAAGAAGAAGAAGAAGAAGAAGAAGAAGAAGAAGAAGAAGAAGAAGAAGAAGAAGAAGAAGAAGAAGAAGAAGAAGAAGAAGAAGAAGAAGAAGAAGAAGAAGAAGAAGAAGAAGAAGAAGAAGAAGAAGAAATGATATAAGGTAGCATTTTTGCTATGATCCAGTTGCATAAAACCTCAATGCACAGAATATTTGAGATACCTCTTCCCTTCATAGTTTGACCTATCCACTAATAAGTGGGGTCTCAATGACAATGACAATGAAGACAAACCATCAACCTTTTGTTCAATCTAAATAGCTCAATTAATCATTTCTCAGGTAATGATGCCTATCTTTTGCTGCTGAAATACCATCTCGAACAATTAGAATTAGTTTCATTTTTGTCTTAGGATTAAAAAAATTGAAATTCATAAAAACAATATAACCACCATGACCTCAAACTTGTGATGGCTTTGGGGCTATAGCCTCGGTGCTCGTTACATTGGATCAAAATCTCATCCCATTTCGCCAAGAAACCGACGATTTCCGAAGTTGAATTCGATCGTGACTTGATCGAGAAGACTTCGAGCTCTTCATCGTATCGTACGACAATCGACGATCGTGAAACAGAATCCCCCTTCTGATTCGCAACCTGTCGGAATTCTAGCGGTTTCAACATAGATAAAGCGGTTTATATGAAGATATTATGATCATATGAATTTCACATTGAAACATTTGAAAACATGGATCCGAGACGAAGAGATGAGCAGAGAATAAGAGAATAACAGATGACAGGGTTTGCTTTCATCATTTGCTCCACTTCTGCCACTGAATAATACTTTGTATATACGATATTTTGCCTAAATCAGTATTGAATCATATGAGAACCAATGTGTGACTTATAGCAATGAAGTCGCAGATCTGTATGATGTTGAACTAGAATTATGAGTTGATACATGGTTTGACAGGTTGATCAATGTGTGATTAGATCGAAGACATACCTCAAATACGATCGAGATAATATATATGTTGTGATTTACTAATGTACATACCTATAGTACCGAATGAAACTGGATAGGAAAATTTACCTATATTCATTTTATTTTATATATTTAATGTGCATTTTCGGCTGCATATAATTCGTCAGAACGAATTCTATCAACATCGTATTATATCAAAATATATTCGATCAAAATGGTAATTCAACAGAACCGTAATTTAACGGAGCAGTAATTCATCGGCATGCAAAACATCATAATGTAATCTATCATATTGTAAAATGAAGGAATGTACTTCATAAGAACGTAAAACATCATACCGTACTTTATAGAAATGGTAATTCATCATAACCGTATTCCAT